GGTTTTGTGCTGGTATTGGTATATTTTGCATGCTTGTGATAGGAATCGATCCCTTGACGTGATTGGTTATTGGTTTGTGACGTAGCAAACCTAGGGCTGTTTCAAACCACATTTCTGGGAGTGCCATTGCGAAACTACACTTTTAAGGAGAAAATACTCAGCAATGGTGTTGATCAATGGATTGGCACATGGTGTGTCTAAAAGCATATTTAAAACACCACATAGACAAATAAACAACATAAAAAAACTTGATTTTCACTACAGGGGGACTTTAAAATAATGTTTACAATATAATACATTTGAGCACAAAACATAATAACAGTTTTATGTAAAATAAGAAAATTAGGCTTATTAGGCTACATTGTGAACTTTTTTAATGTAAAAAGCTGATTAATTTAGTGATTATGATGTATATGTGTATGTGTGTATATGTATGTATGTATGTATATGTATATATATATATATATATATATATATTAAACGGCTTATAGGCACAGAAATGAATCGTGATTGTAAGTTGTACTTTATTTTTCAACATATCCTCTGATGTACATTCATGTTATACATGTTATGTATTAAAGTGAAGAAATGTTAATTTAACTCATGCACCGTGCTGCCGTTGCCTGAGGCAGATAGCGTGATCTATCCCAGACTACATTAGACTTTGGAAACTTTTATTATTTTATTTTTTTTTCCCAAATATGTAGAATTTAGTAGGGGCGCAACTGAATTGTTCCTAGTTCTGTGGCTCTGTGGAATACTTGATTCTGATTAGTCAGTCGCGACATTCCGAGGTATGCTATCCCTCGATAGCAACCGGTAAAAGCTAATAACACAGGCTCATCCTGGTAACAGCAGTCGACGCTGTACTCTTGCTTTAACTATTTTTACTTGGTGGAAGCTTTGCGTTTGTTTAGCTAATAAAATATTAAAACTCGATTCAAAATGGTGTACAATTATTTAATTATGTCATCCTGGTATCGCGGACTCGCTCTCGTTTCATACAAACGCAGCTGCTGCCATTTTTCTTCGATTTGTTTAGTACGCTGTAATGGATTATAAGAGAACTAACAAACTGGTAAGGTTTTAAAACATTTTCGTCTTAAATCTTATATTGCCTTGATCACCCTGTCAGGGTTTATTCTGAGATAACCGGCTGGATGTACATTATCCCTTACTTGATGAAGGCTAATCACTGTCGTTGTCATCATACCACGGACATTACCTGAGAAGTTAGTGTAAATATGTCAGCAAACTGCACTCTTTCAAGGACGTGCATTTAATGCATGGCCAAAGTAAGAATATAATTAGGAAAAGTAGGATTGGCAACTGTCCCCGTATTTAAGTAACATTCCATATTAAATCCACATGGAAAGCAGTTTGTCGTGTCACGCCCAGTTTAGAGAGCTAAACACTCACAAAAAAAACAAGAGCACCCTTAGTTCAAACTGTAATAATAACATATTTGGCAAACTTCCAATACTTCAAACTTCAAAAGCATCAGATGTTTCTATTTACAATGTTTGCAGTGTTGAGCAGTGTAGCTAATCACAGACACATCCATTGAACCGATGAACTGAGGTGAGTGACAGGCTCAGTGCATTTGAAATTATAAAGGGAGCGCTCTTTGCATGTATTCTAGGCTATCTGTAATGAAATAAAATTAATTTTATTATCTTTTTTTTTCCATTATGCTAAGAGGAACAATGTCTCCTCACTAAAGTTCAGCTATTGTCACAATCCACTCGGGGAGCAAGGAATGAGGAAACTAGGAGTACTTGAATAACACAGTCTTTAATAATCCACAGGAAAACCAAGAACAAGGAGGACATTCAACAAGTAGACCCGACCAACAAGAACTGAAAGGACTAGGGCTTTTAAAGGCAGGATAATTGGGGAGGAACGAAACACACCTGGAATCAAATTAACACAATCAACATGAGGAAGAAACTGGGTCACAGGGGAAAAAACACACACAGAATAGTCCAAAATTCTGACAGCTATAGTTTAGTTCAGGGGTGCCCAACCCTGCTCCTGGCGATCGTTGTCCTGCAAAGTTCAGCTCCAACCCTAATCAAACATAGACCCAAATAGGGTCTACTTATATGGTGTATTAAGGTTTATAGCAGGTGTTAACAGTGATTAACATCTAATAGTACAAACTAGAAACCAATAAAGCTAATTTAAATAGAGAGAATAACCAGCCTGTCACACCCCGGCAGCAGGGCCTAGTAGACTAACTTACTGCTGACTTCATGTGTTTGCTTGAGGGCAGCAGCGCTGTCACACCCAAACCAAAGGCACAGTTTTATGTGTCCCTATAGCAATTGCATATGTATGTAATCATAAATACTAGTTAAATAAAAATCTATTAAAGAAATATACGCATTACAGATAGTCAGATATATAGATCTGTGAACTATATAGACAAAAGTATTGGGACACCTGACCTTACACCAACAGGGACTTTAATGACATTGTATTCTAAATACATAGACATTAATATGGAGTTGGTCCTGCTTTGCCACTTTAACAGCTTCAACTCTTCTGGGAAAACTTTACATGAGATGGAGTGTTTCTGTGGGATTTTTGCACATTCATGCAGTAGAGCATTTGTGAGGTCAGATACTGATGTTGGATGAGAAGGCCTGGTTCGGGATCTCCGTTCCAGTTCATCCCAAAGGTGTTGGATGGGGTCTGAGATCTGTGCAGCAAGTCGAGTTCTTCCACACCAAACATTGATTTGTGCATATGCTGGAACAGAAAAGGGACTTCCCCAAACTGTTCCCACAAAATGTCTTGGTATGCTAAAGCATTAAGATTCCTATTCTCTGGAAGTAAGTCACACCCCTGAAAACAGCCCCATACCATTATCCCTCCTCCAACAAACTTCACCAAACACCTGTGCCAATGCAGTCAGGCAGGTAACGTTCTCCTGGAATCTGCCAATCCCAGAGTCACCCATCAGACTGTGTGACTGGTCACTCCGCAGAGCAGGTTTCCACAGCTCCAGAGTCCAGTGTCTGCGTGCTTTACTCACTCCATCCCACGCATGGCATTGTACTTGGTGACTTGCAAGCAGCTGCTCAGTCATGAAAACCTGTTCCATGAGTCTCCCGCCACACAGTTTGTGTGCTGATTTTAATGCCAGTGGAAGTTTGTAACTTTTCAGCTTTGGAACCAGCAGAGCGTTGATGGCTTTTACATACCATTTGCCTCAGCACTCGGTGACACTCAGGCACTGGTAAAGACAGTAAGGACCGTACCTCACTACACACTGGTGACTCTAGTTCCGGCGATAGACTGGTCACGTGTAAAATGTCACCAACATCTGACAGGATAGATCTCAATTTTTTATGTTAAAATACATTATAAAAAAATAAATATTTGATTGTTTAATTGTTCTGTTTTGCAACATTTCAGGTGGATATTAATTACAAATGTTCACAAGAGTGCTACTTTATGCTTATGTTGAAAGATAATTATTAAATGTTTAATTTAATGTATTAATTTCTTATTATTGTATTATTATTTGCCTTGCTCTTGCTTTACCTGCTATAAGAGGGAATATAGCAATTTCAGGGTTTTATGTTGTTGTTTCAGGCTGATAGTAGACTTTAGTTAATGCAGTTTTGGGTACCAGACAAGACTTGTTGTAAACTGGTTTTGGATAATAGATAAAACGGATGTCATCTGACCTATTCATAAACATTATCACAGACCAATGACTGTTCAGCTGCCCAAAGCATCCTTCATTTTACGGCTAAGCTAAGCCATCACTGGTCAGCACTAAGTGTGCATCACATACTCCTCTTCATTTTCATTTCAGTTCAACAATTGCTTTTAAGCTCAAATGATTTATCAAATGAATGAAAAATATCAAGCTATGACTTTAACACATTTTATTATTGCACACAAATCCATTGCATTACTGTGATAAGGCAGTACAATATATAGTTTATATATAGTTGCCTTCAGAAAGTATTGTTACACCATCAAATTTTAATGATGAAATGTTTTTTCACACGTCAGTAACAATAAATGCAAAACTTTCACAAATCAAAGAAAAAAAACGATTAAAATGACCCATTTGGCAATGAGAAATATAAAGGGAATCGATACTTTCTGAAGGCACTATATATTTATAATGTGTTCAATATTTGAACCCAAAAACTGAAACCTGCCCACTAAAACATTCAGAAACTAGCAGCTGTAACATCAAGCAAATCTGATCAAATCATCACACTCCTGTTTTCACACAGAATAACCTAATATTATGGCAAGCAAACATGAACGCACAGACAGAAGATAAACGTGTGTAAATATTCCAGCTAAATATGTTTTTGAGTACTGTAACAGAGAAATCACGAAATAAATGTCCAAATCAACAAACTCGTATGGCTATTATCACATACAGTTTCTGCAGCACTGTAGAGAGAGGTGATTTTTGAATGTTGCATCCCGTTCAGTCTACGAGTCAGAATTCAGCACAAAACGCTCCCATCTTCTTGCACTCGCTTGCTTTCTTCCTCCGGTTCATGCAACCTTTGTGTTCTCAACGTACCACATAGTGGCTTGCACATCAAGTACAAAAATATATTTCTATTGACAAGAGCAAACGTCAGTAAATATTAGTTATCTGCAGACAGATCTGTGGGGTGTTCAGAGTTACTAACTGTTCAGTCGAGTTACTCATATAAGCGTTTAACATCACATCACACATGGGAGTAGATGCCTTACAACAGTGGTCACCAACCTTTTTAGGCCCAAGATCCCTGACCTCGGCCTTTATGAAAGACCAGATCTACCTATTGAAGAATTTATAGAAAAAGACATCCCAGATTGTACTTCAAATTTGAGGCCTTTTACTTAGTATTTTAATTAGTGATGCGCCGATCATAGCTGATTCAGAATTCAGATTTTCTTTTATTTTCGGGATCTACTGGGACAGTGATAAAGATCTACCAGTCGATCGCGATTGACGGGTTGGCGACCACTGCCTTACAATGTCTAAACACACAATGATACTGTTTCTGCTTTTCTCGTTTAAAATCAAATACTTGAAGACAGAAGAACCGTTTGTGTTCAAACATTCGAAAAAGGACTCTGGTAACCAAGACTAGTTCATGTTCAGGCACATACACTAGCATAAAGGTGAAGTGTGTCATTTCTGCTCTTTCGCCCATGTTTGTCACAGATCGCTTCTCAACATGCAACTGGCAGGAAAGTCTCTTAGTGACAGACAAATAACACACTTCACCTCTGAAGAATGAACGACACAGAAAACACAAGCACTGACTGAGAGGACAGACACCTCATCCGTAGTTGTAGGTGAAGTTGTAAGTGCTGGGCTCTTTGGGCACAGGGGGAGGAGCCTCAGGGATGGTGATGTTCTCCAGGTCGAGGAGGCGGAGCTTCATTTCCATGCTCATTAATGTGTCAAGGTCACTTCGTGTGAGATCACTGCCCAACTCCTTCCCCAAGAGCGCAGACAGTCCATCCGTCCAGATGCAGTACTGATCCACACAAACAAACGTCACTCATCTTTCTACAAATGACACATTTTTACCAATAAAGTGTAAAATGCCATATTCAAACACCACAGTCTACTGTAGTCTCTGTGGACTCAAGGCCTGTAGTGTCCCGCACTTGTCCTCGAACCCTTGCAGGTCCGACAGAACTGTGACTTAAGTGCTGTTTTTGAGACTCACCTCGTATTTGTTGGTTGCCACAAAGTTGAGAGCCTCATCAGGATCATAGAGGATGGAAAACGCCAACTCTAACACTTCCTACAAACGCAGCACCATTCAAACACCTCAGTCATGCATGTATAACAGAAATCGAATGTGTGATATTCTGTATGGTTTGTGTATTTTGGCATTTTGTTTCAAAGCAGTTTTACAGATAATACTGCTTTAAAAAGTGAGCCAAACTAAACAATTCCTTAAGAAGTCTAGTTCAAAGAGGAGAAAAACCCTGAGAGGAACCAGACTCGGCTGAAGGAACATATTTAAATCAATATGCATGCAATATTACTATTTATTACCACATATTACCATTAACATGTCTGCTTCATAAATGCATTATTTAATAATGATGATTAGGTCAGTGATTAATTGTTTATGCAGGCAGGCAGGCTTTGAAAAAAGACATTAAAAAAAGAGTTTCATGTCAAATCTTTATCAGTTCTGTTCAATAATGCGCTGGCGAAGATGAAGTAAGTGGTTTTACCTTGTTCTGTTTGAGCGCGCTCTTCTCCTTCATGTGTGGACAGTCTTTCCCTGTCAGCACCGCTTTAATGTCCGACACGGGAACTGTGGGTCAGTGACAGTAAGTTTGAATACACCGCGCAACACATGATGTGAAAACTAGTCAGTGGTGTTCTATCACATAAGTGCACTCACTCGTATCGGTGAGCAGTTCAAACGGCACTTCGCCCTGTGGAGACTCGTCCAGATCTCCGTAGTGCAGGACCTTGTGATTCAACGACAGACGGCAGAACCAGAACTTCTCTGTGAGAGGAACCAAAGACCATTAGACACTCCAACAAGAGAAAACTCACATTAGAGACTAATACGGCAGAAGCGGCTGTCTTGGGCAGATGTGAGCACCTTGTCTCCGTCTGTTGGCGAGTTTGCGAAAGCAGCTTCCCTCACACAGACGACTGAGTCGCTGCTGTTTGATCAGCTCCAGAATCTCCGGCTGGATCCGCTCACGCAGCTCACTGACAATCAAGAGGACACACACTTGAGACCAGCTGATCCTCACGCTCCGATAAACTCATATGAACATTTGGATTGGTTGGTCGCTCCTCCTCAGTACGTTTGTCTTGTTTTCCAGAGCAAATGTCTAAAGATTCTTAAATCAAGATATATTTAGTGGAGAAGCAAAATGACAGAAGATAAGTCTTGTTTTCCGTGAAACTGGTCAAAATGAAGTGAGTTTATGATTATAACAAGAACAAGTATCTGCCAATGAGCTCAGAAAAATCAACTTAACTCAAAAGTAATTTTCATAACCCCCTGACAGATATTTGTGACCCGTGCTGGCAAAATGAGTCAAAATGCGCACGGGCTAATTTTGAGCTAAACGCAATAAAATAAAAAAATGCAGATTTTAGTCGAATTTGAGGTTTTCACAAAAATGAGTTCATTAAGCCCTCGTCTAGCGATCCCAATGCTTCAAATAATAATTAAACATCTAAAATGATCTTTATTTGTATGCTTTCTGAGAGGAGTACCTTTTCTCCGCTCGTTCACGATCCGCTGTATCACGATCCCGATACATATACAGAGAATTACAGTACAGTATACAGAGAACATGTCTTAAGTGAACGTTTGGGGAACTGTTGCGGAAAAACATCTGATGTGTAACATTATATTAGATCCGTGTATTACAGTAGCTCTTAATATATATTCCGTCTGTCTCATTAATGTTAATCTAACAATAAAAGAAAAGAGGGAATCACTCGCTGCTATTGATTGAACTGCTTTTGTTGTTTCAGTAATCAGTTTATTTGTAATGAACACACTAAAGTGATTTTTACATTTTTTTTTGCATCTGTTCTTTTTTATAATAACAAAAAAAAGAAAGCTATATTGTGATTATTAATATAGTAATTATTATTAAGAAAAGAACTGGAGGAAAAGATGCAATGTTGCAGGTGATTTTGCTTTGGAACCTTCAGAAAACTTTAACTTGATTTTTCTCATAAATGACTTTGCTGACTCTATCGACTTCAAACGGCTGTAGCTCAGTCATTTTTCGTCCGATTCCAACAAATCATACATCATTTTTGAAGGTCTAACAATAAAAATAACTCATTTTTGTGACTCATTTTGCCAGCACAGGTCACATTTGTTCCCGTTTTATGAATAAACTTGCTTCATTTTGTTCAGTTTCTCCGAAAACAAGACTTGATTTCTTCATTTTGCATCTCTAGTATCTTGATTTAAGGATGTTAAGATATTTGTATTGGAAAACAAAACCACTGAGAAAAAACATCATTTTTGTAGTGCATGCAAGATTTAATGCCATGACAATTAATTTAATACGTTCTGCTCTGATTTAAGACCTTTTTAAGGCTTTAAACTGTGGAGGGACAGACCTTTTTAAGACCCACAAAAACCCTGTCATGAGAAACTTGATGCTTTTAATCACAGGTCAAGAGCTGTAGGTCCCACCACACAACTTTAAAAATCATAAAGACTTATAATTTTGTTTAATTTCCTTCAAAAGACCTCAGGTGCATTAGTGGTTTATAACTAAATGATTGACTGATTAGGAGACTCTTGATCTTGAATAAATTATCAATAAATAAAATGAAATTAATAAATTATCTATCTCTCAGATAGGTCCTTCAAGGTATCTTGGAGAGGTGAGGTGTCCAAGTCGCAACATCTAACTACTGGGGTGACTCAGGGCTCAGTTCTTGGACCACTTCTCTTCTCTGTCTACATGGCATCACTAGGTTCTGTCATTCAGAAACATGGCTTTTCATATCACTGCTGTGCTAGAGTTATGTGTTCTCTAGAAGCTTGCATTCTGCAAGTGAAAGGCGTATTATTGTGCCATCCCAAAGAGACACAAAATCACTTTCACTGACTTTTTCATTAACTGTTCCCTCCTGGTGGAATGACCTGCCCAAATCAATCCGAGC